CTCTCTCTCTCTCTCTCTCTCTCTCTCTCTATCATGTTTTTCCTTTTCGATTTTGTTGCATTTACTTACATCTTCTTTGAAATGTATGGTCGAACATTGGAGCAAAGCCCCCATTAGTTTATGTGGATTCCAAGTAACAGATTGGGCTCTGAAATGAGAAAGAAAACATGCAAACAAACAAGTAGACCACAAATGAGCTCAAATTCAATTATAAGCACAAACGCATATAATTTGAAGTTAACGAATGAGGTAAATATAAGAAATCTTCTACAAATACATATAATAATGTTAATATTTATTAAATGCTATTCATACACAAATTACAAACAATTAACACTAATCCACATCGAACTAGGCACACGTACACGCAGTGCTTACCATAATCTAACCCGCAACTTTTAATTGAATTCAAAGCAACTCCGGTGGGTTGTCAGAGTTGGCAGAGGAGATACAAGGCGAGAGTGAGTATTAAATAAGGGTAGCTTCGCCACACACAATGCGACGTGGCAATGTTAAACATCCCTGTGGGAGCTACTTATGGCTTGCCTTAGCGAGACAGTGGCAAGAGTAGACGACGACAAAAAAAAAAATAACAACGACAACAACAATAACAATAAAAACAGCAAACACTCGTCTTTCTATTTTATCTTGATTTATTTTTAAAGGACCTTCACAAGGGGCTTGCGTTGTGCGAATCTTTAAACGATTTCATAAATCTGTAATAGTGCGTATGCTATGTACATTATATTCGTATTCCCACACACTCACTCACTCACACACACACACAGACACAGGCACAGGCACAGAGATAGAGATACTGCTATACCATAACCATTGTTATTCATTTAGATTGTCTATGCACATATTGTTAAAGTATTGCATAGCTTTACGTCACATTTCAAAAGTAAAAGCTAGAATTTACTCTCACGCACAGCCATTGACATTTCAAGGTACATATATATATATAACATATTAAGCGTACACATAGACGAATATATTTTCACTTTATCCCTACTGCAATAAAGGCATGTATGGACATCTAATGTAAAAACAATGCAGAACCATTTGCTGACATTAATTAAGCCGGGAAAGAAAACTATATTTGATCATGACTAAATCTTTTGTAGCCATCGTGGGGATCCTAAAAAAGCACCAAAAAAAAGAAAAAAAACGCAATTACAATATTACTCTGCAATATTAGGTGGGCGGAGCTGATTTTTTCTATTTTGCAAATAAAAGTGGAAATGTGTATAGTGTACGCGTCGTCCTGTATGAGTAACAAGCAAAATAACACGGGAAGCAAAGGTATTCACAATTTTTGTTCCATATATATATGGGTGTTGTGGGCGTTCTCCTCCAACCAATTTAATCCATTTTTAATGCGTACAAGAACTTGCTAAACTTTTAGCCAAATTTGAAGTCGATAGCTTTACCGATGCTTTAAAACAAACATTATAAAAACGGGCAGACGGACAAACGGACAGACTTAAATCGATTCAGAATTTGATGCTTTCTGGGATCTCTGAAGTTTCCCTCTAAGCGTTGCAAACGTTTTGACAAAATTAATATACCCCCCATCCTTCGATGGTAGATATGAAAGGCATATTATGACAAAGTTTGTCTGTCCTTCTAATACGTATACAATTTTGTCTTTTTGACTTTGTAAAGCTTTGTCGTAAACTTACTAGACTTGGGATTTCAGCGATCCTACTGTAGCAACACAACATCGTTAGATTGTGGACTTATACTTCAAACATGGCCTTCCTGCGAACTTTCTCTATTTACTTAACTCATAGAGTTCTATAGCGAAGAGTTGTTCGTTTTTCTAAACCTAAAAGTTGCATTCATAGCAGCATGGAGCTATTTTGAAAGAGACTGCATAAGCTTCCACCAAGAATTGGTTAATTTTTCCAAAACTGTAACTGGACTGTTTGCTTTAGATTCAGAAATTTTTCAATTGAGTGAATACATTTCAAATGTTGTAACTAGCATAGACTAGGCTATACTAGGCTCGCAATATCTGACAGCGTAAGTATTCCGTGACAAGGTTCAATACATGTTTAATAAGTGCTAGGATATGGAGGCGGTGAGAAAAAGAGATAGATAGATAGATAGATAGATAGAGAGATAGAGAGAGAGAGAGAGAGAGAGAGAGAGAGAGGGCTCTTAAGAATCGATCAGTGAACTTTTAGAGAAAAGAAGACCAGAGTTATTTAAACTGTCATTACATGCAGTAAATGATGCTTTAAAGGCGTTTTACTAAGAGCTGCTATGAAAACTATTAAAAGATGTTTTGTTCAAGCTAAGATAGCAAGTTTTATACAACGTATTGTACAAAAGTACTGTTCAAGTAGCTACTTGTATTCTTAAGCATTGCTTTTATTTGTCACGTTTGGGCATAATTAACTAGAAAAGGATTGTAATGTCGGCTGGTGAGGTGAGTGCGAACAAAAGTCGACTACAATCCAGGGCATGTGTTAATTCCTTATTTATGAAAACTGTATATATGCTATGCTTGGGAATCTTGCAATTTGTCATAAGGTTGTTGGAGTAATGGCTGCATAGGCGAATGCCGAACGATGAATGGGTTTCGGTTCATCAGGTGTTTGAGTTGCTGCTGGCAGCTTACATAGATTAAGAGTTGTCAAAGTTATGTTGTTACAAACAAAGTGCATTTAAAGAAGAAAAAAAAAAAAGCAAGAAGAAGAGAAGAAGAACAACAACAACAACATTAATAGCAAATACAACTGTGAAAAGCAAATGAACAAAGTGGATTTTCAAATACCCGCATTTAAAGGAACAAAACCGGGCATCCAAACACCCAAACTAATGCCTCGGCAAGTATCTACGGTAGGCATGCTCATCGGTAAGGGTGCACGGATGAATGAATGTTTTAATTTCAAACACATTTCAAACTTCCCCGTCACTCTTGTTCTCTCTCCCCCATTCTTTCTGAATTCATTTTGAATTATTCTTAAAGTTGTGTACGAGATTTAAATGCAATAACAACAAATGTTAGAAATTTTAAAGAGTAGTAGAGGAATCTCTCGCCTCTCTGTTTGAACTATGCTAGTGCACAATTGTTGTATTGACAGTTTGTGGTCGTAAGTTTGCATTTAATCCTTAAATGGATTCATTTCCCAAATACTCGTACTCTACGTAAATGATTTGATTAACATATCCATCAAAAGTACTTACGTAAGTGCCACAAATGCGAAGATACATAAATAAGCCCTAATGCTAATGCTTTCATTGCACTTATTGAAAGTAACCACTAATCCTTGAGAAGCTTTTCCAATTCTTTATTGTTTTGATATTAGGCTTTGTTGCCTTCATAGCAGCTGGCGTACAGGGAGCTACGAATTCTTTCACTTCTAATATTCTTGAGAGTGAATTAATCAATAATATCGACTCTCTCTCTCTCTCTCTCTCTTGACAAGCTGTAAGTGTGTGTGATTGCGTATTTTTCTAAAGCGCTTTTGTTTAAAGCGTTTGATTAATGAGAATTTTATATCATTTAATGAAAATTTAAGATGAAAAGCAATTCTTAAGCGGGAGCAAAGTTAATAGCGCGCAAACGTTTACCTCTACGATCAAGAAAGATTGTGAACATAAAAAAAGTCTCAACCTTTGTTGGTTTGTAAAAAAGCGTTTTTTGAGTGTATATCGCTTCTGTTTCCCTCTTTTTTTTTTTTTTTGTTTTTTTTTTTTCTCCACTTTTTAACTTTCAGGCATTTCACGTTCTTGTATGATGTGCTTTTGAAAGGCAATTACTTGCAGGCATGCTTTGATTTATGAGTCTTTTAATTGCTTAAGACAATTGCGACATACATATGCGCATATGTATCGAGTACTTTTAATATCATTCTCTTTGCATTATTAAGTAAAACCTTTATGGCTTAAATCATCGTCGTCGTTTTTATTACTATTTTAAATACTTTTATACATATATATGCCTTTAGCGTAAATACACACAAATCTCATCATGACTCGTCAGTTTTTACAAACAGTGTATAAAGCTAGAATCTAAGAGAAAAAAAAAAAACCAGAAATAAAAAATATGAATAAATTAATGATAGTTTTATCAACACACACACTTCGGCGCTCTCTTTTCCATTTTCAATTACACCTTGAAATCCCGAAATATTCTGCGAAATATGCTGCAGAGGTTTCCCTCTCCCATTTATTTCAATTTAGTTAACAAGTTCAAGGATTGTGTGGTATAATCGATTACGGCCTACCATTAAATATACTACCTATCGTTTCACCTACAACTATTATTATTCATTCATTTTCATGATAGTAAGAGATAGTACCGCATACTTCTCCTGATAGTCCCCTTTTATTGAACGATGCTCAAATTTCGTAAATTTCGCAAATTTAATTGAGTTCACCGCCGAAGAATGAGTAGTATATTCATTTTGTCGAAACGCTTGCGGTGACCACAAGGAAGCTCCAGACAACCTACATAGTACATATATATCCCTGATTAGCATCAAATTCTGAATCGAGTTAAGCATGCCTGTTTGACCGTCTGTCCGTCTGTCCGTCTGTATAATGTCTGTTGTAAACATGCTCGTCGCGTAGTACTATGTAAATTGAGAACCCTTCGAGTTTTCAAAAAGAAAAATAAATTAGTTTTTTGTGCAATAATGGAAAAAATTGACCTCGCCTACTCAATCTTATAGTTTATTCAAGTTTAATATTTTTTTCAATGCCAGAAACCCCATAAAGCATATAAATTCTTGTTCAGTTTTAATTTTAGAATGCACGTAAACACGCCCGTCTGTCTGTTCGTCTGTCCATCGATCCGTTTGCCCAACTATGTAGTATCTATAACAAACGTTCTCCTGTCAGCGAAAACGAAGATTGCGACTTTTCAAAAAATACACCTACAACGCCCATATAATAAAAATGGTGAACATGTTTGCTTTCCACGTTTTCTGCTTGTCACTCATTAGGTACAATAATTGCATCATATAAGTTTATTCTGAAAATAGAAAACATCAGGCGGACTCAGATTATCTTATAGAGCGTGAAACTTTAGGTCTTTTGAAATATTGCAAATTCGATCTTTTTACTATAAGAACGTATAATGTTGGTAGCTACAGCAGTACAGAAAATTGCCTCTTTTTATCCACATTTTTTGCATCGATTCAGAATACCAAAATACTATCATTAGACCATTTTTCTCGAGCAATTCGGAAAATTTTCTATTCCTTTTCATAAAGAGACTTTTCAAAATATCGGGTTATATGGGCTAAAACACTTCAACGTATCAAATTTCATAAAAATATGTCAAAAATTGCAACCGGCATATCAAACCTATATATAACATCAGTCGCACAGACACACCTAGAATCATTTCCTGAAACGATCCGTATAATAAAAGGTCGGTCTATCTAAAATCCGCATGAACTTTATATATTCTGTACCAAAATCGTTGGGAATAATTTAAACGGATTTTTGTAGTTTTTTGTCCTTCCTCGACAATACGACAATACTGAACATTCGAACAAGGGCCGTTGCTCTCTCACGCGATGACAGTTAATTCCTACTCGAAAAAATTATGGTTTTTTTTTTTATTAACTAAAGCGTGTGTTAGAGATTGAATGTTATGTCCATCGGAACGTACGGGTATGAAATGAACGGCATTGTAATATATATTTAATTGCAATAAAATATAGTAAATAATGATTGACTAAAGGAAATGGAAAAAAAGTGTAATCGAAAAATTGTATGAGTTCAGTGACAAGTACCTTTCAACTCCGGTAAATCTGGGATGACGATGTCGACGCGAAAGTAAAAGACCACCACCCCAAGCGGCCTGAAAATAAATCATAGCAAATAAGTGCTAGCGTTCATTGCTCATCATCTCTTATTGATTGGTTTTCAACGCAAACTTACATCGACATGCATCCAACAATTATACTTTTGACATATATCGGCAATTTCGTTCAAATTATCAAAGGCTCCCAAGACAGTGGTGCCGGCAGTAGCATTAACAAAGAATGGTACATGTCCTTTGGCCTTGCGTTCTAATATAAGACGTTCAAGTTCTTTGGTTATCATGCGTCCTCGTTCATCTGACGCAACCATTACGCAGTTATCGGTGCCGAGACCGCAAACAGCAGCGCATGATTTTACCGAATAATGGCATTGATCTGAAGTAAACATAACCAATTGACCGGGCAAAGCGGCCGATCCATGCTCTTTATAATTGGGAAACATTTTATGGCGAGCAGCCAAGAAAGCGTACAAATTAGATATAGATCCACCGGGTGCCAATATAGAGTCACCACCCTGCCAGCCAATTATTTCACGCATCTTTGTTAAAACAACAGTTTCCATTAAAATGAACACTGGAGCGATTTCATAGGTGAACATATTAGTATTGGCAGTGGCTGTTAACCATTCGCCGGCCATTGAAATGATGTCCAAACCACAAGATAATTGGTTGAAGAAATGAGGATGACCTTTAAGTAATGATAGGAGGAAAACTCTTTTTTTAAAAATAAATATAACCGCAACAGAATATGACCTAAAGTTTAAAAGCTGAGAAAAATGCCTGGAATTATTTATTTAATATTTGCTTATCTTTTTTAATTTTTTATATTGCATTTATATTAATATAATAAATATAATAATATTATAATAATAATTCTCTAATAATTTTCTCTAGTCTAGCAACTTGAAGCAACCTGAACTAATGGCCCATTAATACATTTATTCGTTAGGGTATATTTGCTTTGAAGTCTTCTTTGAAGAAGGCGCAAGATGACCTTTTCATATGAATTCCTTTCTAGATATTATCGTTATATTTAAAACCAGGCCTACTACATGTAGCATTAAATATGACATCACGGATCATAATGGATCAAATACATAAACGAACGCGTGTACGTACCTGTTTCGTATTTTTGTTTTATTGCAAACTAATGTACCGTTATAATTATATTTCACTCATGCATAGAATAGCGTTGTTTGGGATTTGCTTTGCTACACAATTATCTGATGGATCCGTTGGTCCATAAAATAATTGAAAAATAGTCGTCTAAGAGGAGAGGCTGTGACATTAAACTGGAGATTATGTGCGCTTGTCTATCACTAATACATAAGCACGAAACAGCAAGAAGAAATTCAGCCAGAAAGGAAGGAAATATGCGAGGAATGAAATTAAGTACAAGACTGCCAGACAAAGAACGCCAAGTGTTATATGTTATATGTTATATGTTGTATGTTAGGAGAGGAGCAGATGTGTTTGGCATTAAACTGATTGACAGTCAGTCAAACAAACGAATTCTTATGCAGGGTTAATGCGTTAAATGGATGCAAAAAAGCTTAAGTAATTCGTTGCATTGAAAATCGTTTACCTTTAGATGGGGGTCGGACATAAATAACCGGAATACTAGGGTCATTGTCTTCACTTTCACAATTTCTATGTCAATACGCCGTGTTGTTTACTTTGAATACATTTCTTTTTTGTAACAAATAATATGAATAGAAAAAAGTAGAAGAAAATTTGCACATCCAGTCAGTCTAGAGAGGAAACGTCAAGTCTCATTGTCTCAGCGATTACATGTAACTTCCGTCGTAATGATTAATAATTTGATTTTTGTACTTCTGTTCAATTCAGCTCGTCCGTCCTTGTTTCGAATTTAAGTTTCATTTAAACGTTTCGTTCTCTCCTTTCTTGCTTTAACTTTGTTAAATTCAGTTTAATTCTATGGGAATTATCGCTCATTTATTGAGGGCTAATTGAAAATTACTATATAGACAATTTATGTGACTATTAAATAAATACACTGACAAACAGGCATACATACATACATACATACATACATACATACATACATACA